CAACAACAACAACAAACGCCGCCTCGCCAACGACGTCTACAGCACAAACGACACCCAAACGAACACCGAACCTCATGTCGACCTCAATGATCGTGACCTCCAGCTCAACGCGAATGCACAGCGCCGAAAAGAAGACGCCACAAAAGCGGGTCAGTTGAACTGCAACATATCACATTTATATATTTATTTATTTATATTTTGTTTTAATGTTCTTTAGGAAACGCTGCCACCGAAGGCTGCCTCCGCTTCCAAGGCACAGCCCAGCCGCACCGCCAGCATGGAGCGCATCAATCGACGCCAGAAGGAATCCACAACAAAGGGTGCAACCTCAGCGATGAGTGCGTCCATGATTGTTACCAGCAGCACGGGCAGCGCCACGACAGCAGCTGCCTCCGTGCCAGCGCCCGCACCAGAGGCAAATGGTGTGGCCAAGGAGCCAGAAGAGCTGGTGCCAGTTCCTGATGCAGCTTTGGCCGCTGTCAGCAAGGCAGAAAAGGAGGCATTGAACACAGTCAAGACGGAGCAGGTGCAGCAGCTGGTGCAAATCGAGGCCAAGACACAACCAGAGCCTGAGCCTGAGCCTGAGCCTGAGCCTGAGCCCGAGCCAGCTGCTGTTGCCGTAGAGAAAACAGCGACAGAGCCAACAGCTGCATCTTTCAGCGTGGAGGAGAAGGCAGACGAGGGCAACGAGAAAGTGCAAGCTGCAGCCGAGCCACTTGTAAGTGTCCCGAAGAAAGCATTACGTAACGGCAGCAAGGAGAACTCGGAGGTGCGCGAACTGACACCCCCATCGGCCAATTTATCGGTCGATAGCAGCAACGATTTGATGACCGCATCGATGATAGCTAAAAAGATAACGACTGAGGAGGAGGCTAAGGCCGCATTAGCCGAAAGACGACGCCTGGCCCGCGAGGAGGCTGAACGACAGGCAGAACTGGAGCGCCAACGAGTTGAGGCCGAGCGTCTGGCCGAGCTCAAGGCACAGGAGGAGGAGGCCGAACGCCAGCGACTGTTCGAAGAAGAGTCCACACGCCTGGCGGAGGAGCAGCGCCGCGGCGAGGAGGAGCGTCTACGCAAGGCCATCGAGGTAAGCGCCTATTGATGAGTTCCAAAAAAAATATGTCTAAATTAAATTGTCCACTCAATACGCAGGAAGCACAGCAGCGCGAGGAGGAAGAACAGCGCAGGCGCGAGGAGGAGGAACGCCAGCGCATCGAGCGTGAAGAGGCCGAAAAGAAGGCCAAGGAGGAGGCCGAAAAGCAGCGCGTCGAGGTGGCCGAGCGTCTCAAGCGCGAGGAAAAGGAGCGCGAAGAGCGACGCAAACGCGTCGAGGCGATCATGTCCCGCACACGGAAAGGCGGCGCCACGGCCACCACACCCGCTAAGGTAGCCAGCCGCCGGTTCGATTTTTAAACTCAAATTATTTACACTTCCAAACGATTACAGGAATCGGCTGACGCCAAGGCTGACGCGGCTGGATCGTCAGCGCCCAAAGAGAACGATGTGAACAGCAGCGGCAGCAACTCAACCGATGGCTCGCCCAGCAGCAGCAGCACCATCAATGATGCGCCCGCGCCCGTTGTGCCCGCAACGGAGACGGATGCGGAGCCGCCCAACAGTCAGGCCATGTATGAGCAATCGGTGCTAGACAAGGAGAACTCGCTTATTAACAGCTTCGCCAATATGATTATCGATGAGAATGCCAAGAACTTGCATCAGTTCGAGGTGAGCAACGGCAAGCTGCATGTGGAAACAACACCAGCAGCAGCTGCTGCTGCTGCTGCAGCAGTGGCCAACGGGAATGGCCATATCGAGAATGTGAACAACAAGAAGTGAGTGTGAATGCGTTGGCTTTAAGATAATAAGATGAAACTAAAATAAAGTGTTTGATTGCTTGCAGCGACATCAATCTGCTGCAGGATGCAGTCACTCCGGCTGTGACACAGCTAATCGATCTGAGCATTGAGTCACAACAAGATCTACACATCAACAACAACAATAATAACAACAACAACAACAGCTTGCTGACGAGCACAGCGGCAAACAACACGCTAGTCACTGCTGATAGTCACGAGAATAAAGGTAATCCATCTATAAGTCTGTATATATGTTATATATATAAAATCGATTGTACTGCCTGACTGGCCTGATTGGTAATCCTTACGTCATGTAAGTGCACACTAAGACGGGGCTTTGGGTATCGCCAACAAGTGCGGAAATATTTCAGTTGTATGAAACTTTTTTTGATTACCATCCGAAGTGCTTCACACTTTCTGCCTTTTTGCCTTCCACTCCGATTAAAAAAAGCGATCGACTTTTAACTCATTTAAAAATATCATTGTTAAATATAATTTAATAAAACTAAATTATCCAAGGGCGGGAAATGCTTGGGAAAGTAATGTAAGCCAGTTAATATCCTTGCTTAAATTAAAAATCGATCAGTATATATTGTTATTAATATATTCTTAATTTCTTTCCATTTCGCCAGATATATCGCTGCTGTGAATTCGTTGAAGAAAACCAAACCAGATTGTTTTCTAAACTATCTAAGAAAAAAGAAAAACAAAAAAAAACTGATATATAGCTAAATGTGTGTGGAGTATTTATTTATAGATTGAGTTAAAAAACAAAAACAAACCAGCCAAGCGCGATGTCTGGTTTGGATTGAACGTGTGTGCGGAGGAAAGCAACAAATTATGGTTACTAGCGATACTAACAAACAGGAAAACAAGAAAGCTTATAAAAACTATATACACCCTATTATATACATATATATTAAAAACAAAAACAAAAACAAAAAGAAGAGCTAAACATTATAAAGCAGGCAAAGCTAAGCTGCAAGCGAGTATGAGAAGCGAAACGGAAAGCGAGTGCATGTAATATTAGTTAAGAACTAAGACAAAAAAACTAAAAGATACAAATCTTAACGCTGATTATGTTAAAAGATGATGATAAAAGATAATGCCTGATAACCAGCCGAATCATTGGCCACGGACAGAGGAGCGTCTCGCGTTTATTGCACAGCAATTCGATATCCAATGTTCCAAAAAAAAAAAATGGATACGTTCTCATTTTAACAAACATTTCTAATTATTAATAATTATCTATGTGTGTATTTGTGGCTCGCTTCAAAAGTTTTTTGCAATTCATTTTGAGAGCTACTTTCGAGTCCAACTTGAATCGAGAGAGATGACGCCGACGCAGCGTTATATATAATTGAAAATTATATAGAAAATGATATAGAAAAGTAATGCGAGAATCCGAATCGAGGCACTTACAATACCCTCGAAAATAATCTGAAGACGCGGTATGTGCATAAAATACCATTTATTTAGACCTCACTGCTGGGAGCTGATCCGACGTCGCCGTCGCCGCCAACGCCGCCGTCGCTGCCGACGCCGCTGCCGCCGCCGCCGCCTGCTCCCCCCTGTGTTTATTGCCCAATTTTTGCACAGTTGTTTTATAAGTTAAGTTTAATAACCGTTGAGCCAACGAATCGTGAGGTATTATTTATTAAAAACAAAAAAAAAAGAAATAAGAACATTTGTCTGAAATTATTTGCTGATACTATGTCCTATGTCCAGGGAGTGTAACTGTAGCCTATATAAACAAAATATAAAACAAAACAAAAAAACACACAGATATCAGATATCAGTGCTTATAAACACACACACACACACACATACACACACACATACCTAGGAACTAATGAAAGGGACTTGTTTTAGGGAGTCGTCAATTCTGATTATGCTTATGTCATTTTTTAATTGTAGTCGTGTTCTCTCTGTATATTATTTTTGCGTCAAATTTATATATATTTTTTTTGTAATCTTTTTTTATAGACATATATACATCAATATTTGTAATTTGTATTTATCCATGTGCAAAATAAATTATGATTATTTTTTAATTGAATTTAGCAAATTATTTAGCATGCACCCCAAAAGATTGTTAACAAAGAAACATTTCATTGAACCATAGTCTATAATGCAATTCACACACACACACACGCACACAAATATATATGTGTGTGTGTGTGTGCCACACCCACTTGTACTTGAGCGCGAGGGCCTTAACATGCATGAGAGCAAGCAAAAAAAAATTGATCAACCCCATTTATCCCCGTTGAAAGTAGATTAATAATAATGCAATAACTATGCAACTGTGTCTAGTTAAATGGAATGCTTTCCTATGTTTAATAACCTAAAATGGCGATATAATCAAAAGACAAATGAAAATGTTTAATAAATATAATTGAAAATTGTCTTGCTGCAGTGAAAATAAAAAACAAAAAAAAAACAATATTCTTAGAACTATGTATATTTAATATTACAATTATATATGTATGTATGTATCACACAAAGTAACAACAACAAATTATAAAAGCAATTCCCTTTATTTATTTAGAACACATTAAAAACTCACACTGAACACTGAAAAACTTATGAAATTCTCTTCTTATCTTGAAAGCAACTAAAAAAAAAACAAAATATATATATATATATATAAATATATTAAAAACAATTGCATAACAAATTATATATTTATGTGAATAAAATGTAACTAATTCTCAAGGCAAACTAAAGCAGAAAACTAAAAAAAAACGCAAGAATTTTTGTTTGTTTCGCTCGATTTTTATTTTCGTCCAGAATTATCAGGCAATGACATGGTCACGCCTGGTATGCTGTGGTTAGGATAAGGCATGAGCAACGTACTAATAACAGACTTCATATCTCTTCACTTTCAATGCCATGAAAACAAACATTCAAACAGCCGTTAAAAGACATGTGCATTATGACATCATCAGCACCAGCAGCTGAGCTTGAGCTTTTGAGAGCGGCTCGTATTAACACGAAATACAGAGAGCGACAACAATTTAAATAACTGTACGCTCTCGCACTGTTATTGCCGCTCTCTCACTCTCCGACCGGTCACGTTATTAACATTACAGCGCTGCTTAACGCTTCAAGTTTTCTTTCTGTTGGCTGTTTTACTGCCTGCTCAAAGCGCTTTTAGTATTTGTTGTGTGCGGACGTGTTTTATACGCAGCGTTCTCCAAAAGAAACAAGAAATTAATACTTAACAATTGTGATAAACATTCCATTGGCCAGAGTGCAACGCTAAGCTACTTTTTGACCAACATAACGCACCCTGCAAACCCGTTTCCAGCCTAAAACCCAGCAGCAGCAGCAGCAGCAACCACAACAAACATTAACATGTCGTCGAATCGTGCTCCAAAGAGTGGCTTTGCGGCCGAAGCGCAGCGCAAGGTAACCAAATTTTTGCCAAAAAAAATATACTGTTGAATGCCTGTGTGTGTGTGTGTGTCTCGTTAAGCTGCATTGCCTTTATTTGGGCATTTAAAGCCGAGTTGCGTCTGCTCTCGCGCGCCAAAAACCAGACTAAAAATGGTCTTAGAAATGACCTCATTCCAAATTCGCAATGCGCGTTGATAAGTCATCTTTAAGTATGCATGACTGCGTGTGTGTGTGTGTGGATGTGTGTATCTAAGTATCTGGCCATGCATGCGTAATTTGTTGGTAAACTTAATTAACCGATTGATGGCGCTTTAAGTACTGCATTGTTGAGCTTCAATTAGTTGCATTGAGCGAATTTTCGCCTCTAGCTCCTATGCTCAATGGGTGCCAGTTGCTATGCGCCTCGCGCTCAGCTGCAGCGAGCGAAGGGATCGCAGCCGCCGCAAAGCCCCCTCGTTCATTGTTTGCATCTCTTTTAAACTAATTTGACATTAGCGACGCTTATTTACTGCATTTTACATATGTATACATATATACGGAACTGGCTTTGTGTGTATCCCAGTCCCCCCACTCTCTCGCTCTCACTCTCTCTTTGCCGGCCCCCTTTGGCAATTACGCAATGCACTGTCCCTGTGGCAGCGCCGAAGGCAAAGCGACGTGAGTGAAATTTGAAATCGTATATGTTGTGCGTCGTTGCGGGAGGCGGGGGGATAGGATTAAGTGCAGTCCACTAATGGACGACAACTATAAAAACAACTACAGTCTACAGTTACAGCATTGGCCAAGCAAAATAACAAAAACAACGGCACCAAACGAGGGACATTCCCTTAGCGTCGCCGTCTCCCCGCGTCTTGCCGCGTGGCTTGTTGCGCCTCTGCCCCTTTTTGATTTTCTCCCTTTTCGCTGCGATCAACGGCTTCACAGGAGCGAGAGAGCGCGATGATGTCATTGGGCTGCCTGCCAGCTGCCCGTCTTCGTTAACTTCCAAAAAATATTAAAGAAACCGAAAGAAAGTTACCTACGAATTGACGAAGCTTGAATGCCCTGCCTTTATACTAGATATATTTCATATAGTATAGTACGGCAATGGTGAGAAGTAGTTGATGAGATATGATCAAGATATCTTGAACATTTTTGAAGTGGCGCATATAAAAACGGAATTTTTGGCAGGAAGCAATGATATATATCCATGCCAAATTTGATCAATGAGAGACCAGTTTGTGTAATAATAACCCGAGACTTTTTACTATAAATACTGAACTATTTACTAAATTTATATTATGGGTTAAAATATAACTACTTTATACAATCCGTGACGAAATCGGTATACCCTTCGCTAGGGTATGTAAAGCGCCCCATGTAGCGATAGCACCTTTTGACGCACTAACACACATGCGCGCCGCACTTAAAAGTCTGTAAATAGGTGTGTGTGCGTGTGTGTGTGCATGTATGTATTTGTGGCATAAGCAAACAAAAACAACATGCCGCTGAATCAACTTTTAAAAATTGTTTGTCCATTTGACTATCTATCTGTGTGTTTGTGTGTGTGTGCGAGAGTCGATTCAGTTGCCAGTTATTTTTGTGTACTTTTATGGCAACGACTCAAATTTCAGCAAAATCGAGCAACTATTGAAGGCGCAACAGACACCCCCCTCGCGCCTCCATTTACCCTGATTCTACATTCTAGCCAAACCCTAAGCGTAACCCTAGCGCCCCTCACGACCCCGCTTTGACCATGTTGCCATTAATTAGTCGTTCGCTTGTCTGTTCGCCCATTCGTCTTCAATATGGGTACCCATAGAAGCGTTAGCACGTACCTATAGTAATCACTGGAACACACACACTCGCACACACACACATACATGCAAACATAGATATGGTCACATTAATACATCCGCAGCAAGTACCCATCGGTATCAGTTTACCAAATGGAACTTGCCGAGCTCTTCCAGGCCCGTTGTTATAAAAAAAACAAAAACAAAAAAAAATGATGTACCTATGTACTGTCTGCGTATAGAAGAGCTACGTATAATAATTGTTGTAGTTATTCATTTTCAGATAAGCCATAAAAAGTGTTGGCAACATAGTTAATCATAAATCAAATGTTGTTTGGATTTCCGGTGAAACTCGGAATGCCAAAGAAAAAAGAGTTCCCATTTTTATGCTGGCTTAACTTTAACTTTTGTCAACTTTTGTTACACTGTGCAGTGTTGTGCAATGTTTATATTTTGGCAAAACAAACACACAAAAATCAAGAGAAAAACAGTTAAAATCACGCACATAATTGACCTCGTTTATTTGGCTTGCGGTATTCAAAGTTCGAGTGCCTATTTTTTTTATTATTTTTTTTGGTTATTTTTTCGAATATCGGTCATTCGCAAAGCTTTGTAATTGTCATCGAGCAGCAGCCGTGACACATCGAAAAGAAAGCGAAAATGAATAATCGCAAGTGGCGGACAGATTGGCGATAGTTTTTGTTTCTTTTTCAAGCGCCGCTTATTTGCACGTAATGCCTCTCACACACACACACACACGCACATGCACCCACATGTACACGCACACACGCATGCTCTATGCGTCAACTGTTTAGTTTTGTCTTAACCAATCATTTTACGCTGCTGAGTTATTGCTTACGCTCCAAACTCAATAATGACATCATCTGCTGCTCGATCGTTTTTAACTCTCTGTGTATCCCTGCCACATTATCATTACGCAATGATCCGTTGCCTCGCCGCTAATCGCGAGAGTGAATGAAACAAAAGATGTACATAAATATTTTATACATTACGCGCGACTTCTTGAAACGGAAACTTGCGTCAGCTTTTGTTAGATTTATGCGACAGAAAGCAGTCGGCACCCCTATCCACACACATACACACATACATACATGCATATATTTATATACTCCTTGAAGCCTCGCATGTCAGTCAACAGCATCTGCTGACTGGCAATTACCTATTTCCATAGATTACATTTCCTGAGTGTATTTCAGTTTTGTCAGAAAACGTGTAACGCATGAAGCAAAAAATTTTACCAAAGGCTTAAAGATCATTTATATAGTGTAAATAACGGAAATAATGTAAATACTAGAAATAAGCTAATGTTATAAAATACTATAAATACTATCGATATCTAATGCAGAATATATCGATGCACATTGCATCGAGATAACGTACTTTTGAATTGCAATCGAGACCTAAATTCGGACATCTTAAAATAGATATAAACTAGAAAAATAAAGAATTGCTTAAAATTAAAAGTAATTAAAGAAATTGAGTTATTTCGCGAACTCTCTTCCTTTTTTTTCATCTATTAAAAAGGGTATTTATTTGTTCACAATCCTTTAATTTTTGTAGTTTTTAGCAGTGGGTGTTGCAATGATAAGTTTTGTATTTTTCCGCTGTACAACACTGACAAGTAGTTTGGGCTTGAGTCCGGTTTCGTTCGCCCGCAGCCTTAGCATAGTTTGTGGACAAGGGGATAAGGTTTGTTCGGTCAGGTCAGGGGAATGGAATCAGCAGGTCTTTAGCAAGTTGTAAGTGTAAACATGGGGCACTTTTAATTTAACTAAAAGCTCTTTCGAGCTAATGAAGAGGCTTTCAGGCTTGGCCCTCTGCTAATGCTAATGCGCCTTGCGTGTGCGGGCAGACAACAACACCCATATATTTGTTTACTGTACAGTAAACCCTATCTAGCAACTCTATCAAAAACTTCAAAAAAAAAATTAAAATAATTAGTTTCTCCCCGTTTGTTTTGCATTGTCGCGCTGCTCTGTAATTGCGCGTAATCGCGCCTCATTTATCAACTGACCCACAGACCCAGTCAGAGGTCTGTCCTCAATGTCAGTGTCGCCTCTGATAGGTTTTACACTTGGCGGAAAGAGCTCTACTAAATATTGTGCTAAAATGTTCTGGGCAGTTGGTTTTATAGCACACTTGACTCTCAAATAGACCGTTAATGTTACAAAAAGATGAATAAGAAACTTGGATTAGGTAGAAAATACCCATTTTTTTTAAATATGCGGACTTAAAATAAGAATAAAAAACTTGGATTAAGTAGAAATACCAAATTTAAAAATATACGGACTTAAGTTTATTATGAAACATTTCCTAGATTTGACTTTCAAATTGTTTGTTAATGTTACAAAAAGAGAAATAAGAAACTTGGATTAAGAGGAAAATACTTAATTTAAAAATTTCAGGGCTTAAGATTAATATGAAACATTTGCTACATTATTTAATGTATTTGTCTTGTGCTTAAAGCTATTTGGGAGTATTCAAATGAGTCTTGGATTAAGTAAAAAGTGCTTGAAACAAGAACTTGCAGACTAAAAGAAAGCGTGAAACGTTTTTACGGCAAATACATAATTCCTACTTTTTTTACGTATTTGCCACCTGCTTTAAGGAACTTGGGAGTATTCAAATCAGTCTTGGATTAAGTAAAAAGTGCTTGAAACAAGAATTTGCAGGCTTAAAGAAAGCGTGAAATGTTTTTAAGGCAAATATACATATATAAAAAATGGTGTCCTATATGGAGTACTGTACAGTATTTATATAAATTTCTGGGCGTATAAGAAAAAGTTTTCAACAACAACATTTGTGCTTAACGAAAGCACAATTCACTTGGGTTTTTTCTCTCAGTGTATGCGCCCGCAGTTCCGCATGCGCTGACGACGACTTTTAACTTTTAACAACGTGGCCCGTTGACCATTTTGGAGCCAAGTTCTATGGCCTAGAAAACATACATATGTATATTGTTTTCGAATATTGTTGAGTACAAACAGAGAACACGTTGATAAGCGAATTCCTCCCGCCCGCCCGGCGCGACATTTTATTTTTGTATACATTATTTTTGCGCTCTCTTCGATAAGGCAAAAACACACACACACGTTCCAGAACATTGTGCTATATATCACACATACATACACACACACACATACACGTATTCAATTATTTACTGTACTTCAACACAGAGAGAAAAAAAAACACACTCGTAGTCGAATTTCGCGGCGA